CGGAGAAATTAGACAGTACCACCACTACAACTACAACGTTATCTACAATAACAACAACAATATCAACCTTAACAACAACAACAACATCATCAATAACATCGACATCGACAATAATAACATCGACAATAACTACAGCTCGGCATTCAGGTGAACGTTTTAGTCTTATATCCTAAGCTCGGGTAGTGTTAATTTTGAGCTAAACATAAATGTTTATTTTGTGTTCAATATTAATCTGTATTAGACTTAAGATAAATCCACTAGGAAAAAAATAAGTATATAAAAAGTAATCTGAAGAAAATTTTTCTATTTCGTGTTAAACAACAGTGCGAGTTTATCAAAAAATATTGCAAGATCAATGTTGTCATTATAGAAATGAGTATCCAAATTGTCGATTTATTTCTAAGATACAAATCCATCGAGTTTGAAATAGAAATGTCAGTTCGAGCTCATTTCTCGTTTGAATGTGCTGCAAAACAAATGTCATCATAAATCCGTATGTTCTGTGTCTTGTTCATTAATCAATAATTCAAAACCTATCGTCCTATTATACGATGAACATGTACGTTATGCAATATGTGAAATTCAAAGAAAGTTGTATTAGAAATTAAAAAAAATAATTTTTCTTTCAGTAAAATTGAAAATTTTCCATCTGTGATCAAATAATCATCTCAAAAATAGTATATTCAAATAATTTTTTTTAGGTTGGTCTAATACTGGTAACATGACTGAGATACGAATGGAGCACACGGCATCTTTGTTACAAAATGGAAAAGTGTTAGTGACTGCTGGATTTTATGATGATACTCATCTAAACAGTTCTGAGTTATATGATCCACTTACAGGAAGTTGGACAAGTACTGGTAGCATGAATCAGGGACGAGATGGACATACGGCATCTTTATTACCAAATGGAAAAGTACTAGTTACTGGTGGAATTGGCGAACAGGATTATCTCAATCATGCTGAATTATATGACCCATCAACAGGAACTTGGACAGTTACTAATAGCATGAAGGATAAGCGAAATTTTGCTGCAGCATGTCTATTAGCAGATGGAAATGTATTAGTTACTGGTGGGTTTAATGGCGATACTATTCTAGATAGTGTTGAGGTGTATGATCCATCAACGGGAATCTGGACAACTACTGGTTATATGGCTGAGGCACGAGATGGACATACAGCATCTTTATTACCAAATGGAAAAGTATTAGTTGCTGGTGGATTTAGTCATCATACTTTTCAGAATACTGCTGAATTATATCATCCATCAACAGGAACTTGGACTATTACTGATAGTATGAAAGACAGACGAGATTATCATACAGCAACTGTATTGACAAATGGCAATGTGTTAGTTACTGGTGGATCTTATGGTGGAATTACACAAAATAGTGCTGAGTTGTACAATTTCTCAATAGAAACTTGGAAAACCGTTGGTAGCATGAATAATGCACGACATAATCATCAAGCAGTTTTGTTAAACGATGGAAAAGTATTGGTTACTGGTGGATCTAATGGTAGTAGGGCTTTACATACTGCAGAATTATATGATCCATCAACAGAACTTTGGACAACTATTGGTAACATGAATAATGCACGAGACTATCACACAGCATGCTTGTTGATAGATGGAACTGTATTAGTTGCTGGTGGATCTGGTGATAGTACTGATCTGAATACCGCTGAGTTATATAGTCCATCAATAGGAACTTCAATAACTATCGATAAAATGAATAATATACAGGATAGTCATGAAATATCCTCATTAACAAATGGATGAATTTTTGTTTATGATGAGGATACTGATACAGTTTGAATACTATACACACATTTGACATTTTATATATATTCCCGCTAGAAATAACTTTCAACTTATAATATAATTAGTCTTCTCTTGTATTAAGAATGAATGATAATTGGTGCGAACACGAATACATCACTTCTTCGAGTAGTAATTTATATTAAATTTCCTCTCTGACAAGAAAGAATATGTGATAAAATAGATATGAGTGACAGATGAATCTTAATCCAGAGTTGCACCTACATCTACATTCATCTTCACAATATCAAACAATTATGTAGAAGATCTATATTTACTAATGATATGTTATGTCAAAGCAAAGTTTATAAAACTGTATTTTATTTTATCAAATTTAAAAAAGAATTTGAGCTTGAGGATTATTGTTAACTATTGAATAGAATTTAGAAAATAACTCAAACGGAATGTAAATGTATTTATTCCTTCTCTTAAACTTGATTTTCAGAATAGAATACATGCATAGTCAGAAAATATTTATTAGAATTATTTCATATTCATTTAATTCTATGTTAATAAAAACATCAACACTAACAAAAAAAGCAGTTGATGAAAGAGAATGTAAAGATGACAAATAATATTACAATATCATTCTCATATGCAAAATTTATTATATAAAGATAAAGATACAGCTACACATGAGGTGCTGAAGATAACATGGTTTATTTTCTTTGTCATTCTTGTGAAAGCAGTAGACAAATATAAAACGCATTTGAAAATAAATTTGTTCTTAGATATAATATGGATACGAACAAGGCATACGCTCAACTTGACATTGAAGAAGTTAGATCAAATAAATGGTGGCATCACCGTTGGTTTAAGATAGCCTGTCTCTCCTTTATAATTTTATCAGTTTTAACAATTGTTCTTGTTCTATTATTAAAATTCGTAATTCTTGTACCGGAGAAATTAGACAGTACCACCACTACAACTACAAC